ACAAAATAATTAGAGATTGAAAAAGCAAGCCAGAGAGGTCATGTTTTGATCTTTGATTGGTATCAAGCAATCACATGATGTGATTTCGCAGTTCAGAGTTCTCCAAGCTTGAACTTTCCAATGCTGCGAATTATGAAATTTGTCGCATGAGCTATCATTCCAGGTCTGCAGTACTCACATGCGTATGAATGGAAGTCTATAGGGAGAAAAGTGCAGTGTGACCGGGACTTTAAGCTGTTACTCTAATTAAACACACCTGATCAAACTAATTAAGGCTTGTTAGAAATCTACAGGTAATGTTGAAGCAGGGTGGGTACTAAACTCTGCTGCTGCAGTTCTCCAGGAACTTGGAGTTTGACCCCCATGGTATATTGCAGGGGTGCTCAATCCTGTTCCTGGAGATCTACCTTCCTGCAGATTTCAGTTACTACCCATATCAAACACACCTGCCTGTAATTATCAAGTGGTGTTCAGGTCCTAATTAATTGGTTTAGGTGTGTTTGATATGGATAGCAACTGAAATCTGCAGGAAGGTAGATCAGCAAATGAACAGCAAAAAACACAACATAATTATTTTAAATTTTAAAGTTTTAAATAATTAAAAACTGTGTTAAATCTCAAGAAAAAGTTTAAAATAATTATAAAAAATAAAAATAAAGTTGGGAACATCGAAAAACCAAAGGATCCAATCTTTTATTGTTATAATTATCTCATGACAACAAACTTTTCTATTGTTTCTAATATAAATTCATAGGTGGAAACACTGCTCTGAAAAATACTTGGCAACAAACTCACAACCTGGGACCGGACAGTGGAGCTTTTGTGTGTGGCTGGCTATGTGTATCATGTTTTTGTGATTCCCTGTGATGATGTGCACGTTACCTTACAGAGATGATGGAATTTAATTTTGGCTTAGTTGCCAGAAAGATACATACAACTGTTAGCATCTGTACATTATGGCAGTATGCAATATCCAATAAATACATATACTTAAACAAAAGTAATGTAAGAAGTTATATGAGGAGAGGCTAACTAGCTAACAATGTAGCTTTCAAGTACACAGTTCAAGATAACAACAATATAGCTTAAAACACAGCCTTATTATAGGAACCCTCAAAAACATTTGAACACATTTTACTTACTCGTTGTAGATTCTTATTTTAAGCCAAATACATATCAGACTCTACATCTGAATTGATGGACAAAGAATAGAGCACACTCGGCAGTAAACAAATCAAACACCTGGCTCCCTTAAAGGGCCAGCATTTTCTGAAAACTCTTTCTAACACCTTTGTGTTTAGAATAAGACAGACAGCCTGTGGGAGTGTGTGCCTAAATCATTATTTTCTTCCTTTAAAATGCACGTTTCTATAAATAGCAACATAAACATCAGAGAAGATGGGACAGTAATGGTTGAACAGTAATTTGATATTTATTGTCAGTTACTATCTGTAATGAGTACATAAAGTAAATTACACAATTTCATTTTCATTGCACTACACAATTTCATACAAAGTACTACTACTTACTACTACTTCTACTCCTTTTACAGTAAAACAATATGTGTTAATAAATAATAAATGTTTCCTTTTATTACAGCAAAACACTGGCTATTTTACAGTTATTTACTGCACAATCTACAGAGTAACAGTGCAGTTATACTAATTAAACACACCTAAACTAAATCTAAAGGTAGTGTGTTGAAGCAGGGCTGGAACTAAATTCTGCTGGGCTGCGGCCCTTCAGGAGTTTGACATGCCTGGTACATAGCATATTTTCAAAGGAATTGCCTACATTTATCACAATCATGCACATATCATTATATAAAAAGAATAAAAATATAAAAACTTCATCCAAAGCAAACAAATAAAAAAATAAAAAAATAATCTGATCCTCATGTTGTTCCAAACCTGTAGTAGTAATAATAATAATAATAATAAAAAAACAAATAACCTGATTAATACATTTATTTAGGAAAGTCTCTATACTATACTGTTAATGCCCCTTTTACCTACTTCATTTGAAGTTTTCCAAACAAATTCATTGAGTCTCTGCAAAAATGTATGTACGTGCTGTTTAAGATATTTTTTAAATAACACATTTTTACTAGTTATTTAGCAAAATACTAATATTCAGCCCAAAGTGCAATTTAAAAGCTTAACTATAGGTTAAACTAGGCAAATTAGATTAATTATAAAAAAGTAAACAAAGTTATAAAAATGATTGTGATAATTTGGTTGCTCTGTGTGAATATTTTTGCCTTTTAATGCATCTCGTCGATATCTTTACCTTTAAATTAGCTCTGTGACATTGACATTGCTTGACTCCTGATACTTAATGTTAAAAACATAAAAGGAACCAAAGAAAACACAGAGATGGCTGCATAGAAATTTAGCTTATCATCAAAGCATTGTCTCACTTTCTCCTCAATACTGACCATACACATACCAAAACTGAACTGTATGTATATATATATATATATATATATATATATATATATATATATATATATATATATATATATATATATATATTTATTTATTTATAGCAACATAAAGCATCAGAGTACATGAGGTAATAATGGTTGAGCAGTAATTTACCATTTATTATCACAGTAACTATCTGTAATGGGTACATAAAGTAAATTACTGTAATTTATTCTTTGCACTACAAAATTTCATACAAATCCTGCTCCTTTTACAGTAAAATACTGTTTCCTTTTATTACAGCAAAACACTGGCTATTTTACAGTTATTTACTGCATAATCTACAGTAAGGGTTAACAGTGTGTTTATTCCTTTATTAAGTTGTTCATGGTCATGTTTACTTTCATTGTTTCATTTAGGGAAACTTCTGAGGTAAATAAATTATATATCTGAACTTTACCAATACATCTAGATAAAATTCTGTGCTTCCCACCTCCAGTCACAATGACTTCTGGGACTTCCAGAGTGAGTTCGGTGCTTAAGTCTGCAACGGTGCTTCCTCGATATCAAGAACACATCCAGGAAGTTTCACGTGTCCTCCGTACTTGCGGTCTTGAGTATTGGAACTGTATTTAAGCAGCTTATGATGACGTTGCACGAGAACCGCTGAAGAATGCATATTGAGAAACAGCAGTCTTCTCTAGTAGTCTTGAACACCTTAATTAGTTGGATCAGCTGTGGTTAATTAGGGTTGGAGTAAAACTCTGCTGAGCTGCAGCCCTTTAGGAATCCAGTTTAAGACCCATGTGCTAACTCATCAGCCATGTGAGGGGTGCTAAAACTCTGGTAAATATAATAAAATTTGGTAAAAATACAGTGGATGCAGCTTTAGCAATTTATTGTCATACAGAAATATCAGCTTTTTAAATCTACACTTAAAGTACACTGAACCTCAACTGTGATCAAAAATGTCATGCTCCTCTCCTCAAAAACAAACAAAAAAACCCTTCACTAAATAATAAACATTTAATTAAATAATAAATAAACAATAAAAAAACTAACAAACCATAAATAAACAAATAAATAAATAAATAAATAAATAAATAAGTAGTAGAAGAAGGTCATTTTATTTCAATGCTCCCCCATTTGCATCATCTGTCATCAGATAGGAAAGAATATGCTAGGTCCTTGATAGGATAATTACTGGGGACCTAGCATATTACCTGCTTACCTATCTAATGACAGAGAAGGCAAGTGGGGGAGCATTATTTGGGAACAGTATTATGGACTGTCTTTGTCAAGCTAGAATAGTCATTGAATGCATTTTTGGCAGACTAAACACATGTAGCATTGATTTATAATTACTGTGAGGGCAACAAGGAGATGCTGGATGAGAAAACAGCCATCAAGGCAATTCAGTGTGACAAAAACAACCAGCCAGACAAACAGACTCATTTCAAAAGTGACTGCATGACAGTACAGGAAAGAGGGTCAAGTCTTTACTGAATTCCTTGATTTATAAAAGAGACTTCTCTCTGTTTGCCACTGAGACAAAATTGCTCTCTAGAATATGTGTGTGTTTATGTGTGTTATATGCAACTCATACTTGCTCAAAATGTGATCCTGAACACGTTAAAAGTGTAAGCTATATGTGTTTGATGTGTTTGTCATGTAATTGAGTTTGTATGGACCCATAGTTCACAGTAATCTGTCTAAAGGTAATCAATCATTCAGAGATCAGATTTATTTTGATTGCCTTGTGTTTTAGGATTTGTAATAATTTATAATGATGAGTTTGGGGTGACGCGGAGGCGCAGTGGGTAGCATGTTTGCCTCACAGCAAGAAAGTCACTGGTTCGAGCGTTGACTGGGTCAGTTGGCATTTCTGTGTGGAGTTTGCATGTTCTTCCCATGTTCCCATGGGTTTCCTCTGGGTTTCTCCCACAAGTCCAAAGACATGTGGTATAGGTGAATTGGGTATGCAAAAAGCTTACCATAGTTTATGTGAGTGAATGAGTATGTATGGGTGTTTCCCAGTGATAGGTTGCAGCTGGAAAGGCACCTGCTGCGCAAAACATTTGCTGGATAAGTTGGCGGTTCATTCCCCTGTGGCGACCCCAGATTAATAAAGGGCCTAAGCCGAAAAGAGAATGAATGAATGAATGATTGAATAAATGAATGATGCGTTTGTTATTTTAAAAACACTGTCTTGATGCATTTAACCATGGTAAGCGTTCTAGAATGTCCCTAAAAGAAGGGTTATATTATGTGAGAGAGAAAGCAGAAGAGAATTAGCAAATTTAAAATCATAAGCACCAAAAAGCACTTTTGCTTTGAAAGACCTCATTAAAACCATCCACATCATCTTGCAAAACAACTAAAATAGAACAGGCAAGCGACACTCAGTGTTCCTTAAAAATACATCATTTTGTTGATTGCGCAAAATAAATGTTTTTTAGATCACACATAATAATAAAGTTTGCCACTCTCTATATCATCTTAGTATATAGTTACTGTATGATTTTTGAGAAGGGTTTGCATACATGTTCTCTGGTTGTTTGTCGGTCTGCAGTGTCTGTGTTTATATAATGTGTTCAGGTCTCGCAACACAATAGTGAGTGCAGAGTAAGCAGTAACTTCACCAGCTGCTCCCTGCTTCATTGGTGTGAACGGAATATGCCAGTGCTTTGGCACAATACACTGCTGCCTCTCCAGTCTGGGAACTGGAGGCTAACAACAGCTTTTTTCTTTCATTTTCTTTCTCTCTTTTTGGCATCCATTCCACAGCATGGGGTCAGGGAGCAAGATAAAATTTGCTGTATGTGAGGTGCTGCAGTTCGCCAGTTTTTGCGTTCCTCTTTTTATCATAATGCAACGTTTTGCCCGAATAGTAGCTCGAGTGAAAAGCCAACTTCAACCATCTGGTGGGAATTCTACTACAGCGTATTGGCTAATTGTGGCTTCATCTGTGGCCTATGTAACAACAATGGCAATGTTGATATGGCTGCCTATGAAGTACATGGTGTTCACGAAGAAGAGGGTACTGGTTGGACGAAAGAAGTGGTGAGAGTGTGACTTTTTTTCTGGGTTTTATGCAACGTAAAATTAGTTTTACAGAGAACCATGACAAAAAAAAAAAACATAAATTACATTGTAATGAAATAATGCTGTTGTACTTAAAGTAACTTGGAGAGCCATGTAAATGTTATAATAAGCAATTTAATGATTATATGAAGTACAACGATAGTAACATTACTTACACCCCTATTTGTGTTATAGTAGCACTTTGTTGGAGTTCTGATAATACAATATTAATTTAACATAGATTTTTTACTTAAAAAGACTTTGCTATTGCTATTACATAAAATACTTATATGTTAATTAAACTTAAATAGTTAATTTTAGCCAATGATCATCAGCTGTCATTTGTAAAAAAAACAGCCACATTTAAATGAATAATTAGTATTCTGGATCTAATAACTGTTCTGGGATTAATTTGTTATTGATTAAATGAAATTTCAATATGAAAGCTTAGCATACCTTTTTTTTCCTTTTAGGAGACCTGTTGCTTTGGCCTATGTGCTTCTTTCAACATTGCCCTGTTTTGCCTTTCTTATAGCCAGCTCTGAGGTAAATTCATGGAAAAGAATTGATTTAAATTTACAGTGTTGAGTATTAAAAAACAGCCTCATTTTTATCCTTTGTTGTCTTGATTTTATGTTCGATGTTGCTTACACATTGTACATAAATGTTTATTTGACTATTGAAAATGATTAAAGGAGAAAAGGTAAATGTTATGATTCTTGGTAAAAGAAGGATCTTTTGAATTCACCACTGGTTTGAGTTATCTTTCTATGTACTATAACGACTATAGGTTGCTTATCTTATTTTGTTAACATAAGTTTGTAAGTGTCTGTATGTGTGTGTGCACGTGTCTATACAAAAGCATTAGCAAATAAACTATTAACTCACTAAAATTCATTTGACATAAATCAGTATTATCATTTAGACAACACTGAAAAAAATTATTCAAAGATGATTCCTTGAATTTACTAAAATATTTTAAGTTAAGTTGTTGTAAACAATTTGTTTGGGCTGAATTTAAACAAACAAATTAAGTTAAACATTACTAAATTTGTTTGCTTAAATTCAACACAAATAAATTGTTTGCACCAATTTTGCAGACAACATTTTTTTTCAGTGAACCTTTACAGTATTTTACAGTTTGTGCCTCATGGTTATTAACTTTAGCTAATCTTCAACATTTTTGCCTTTAAACAGACTGTTTTGTGACAGATGGTATTCAGTCCTTATTCATTTGTACATTATCTGCAAACAGCAACTGACCGAAGCATAGCTTAGACAAAAATGTAATATTATTAAAGGCACAATATGTAAGATTTGCTGATAAAGGTTGCTTAATCAAAACAATACCAAAGATGTAGCATGATAATGCCATAGTGAGGACTGTGGAATCCTGGGAGTTGTATTCACCTCCACAGCCTATGGAAACCCTTCAGACGGGACTCAGGCAGAAATCATGTTCATGGAAGAGGTAATAAATTTAAGTTTTATAAAACATATTATTTGGTAATTTAAATCGGCATAATATTATTTTACTATAGTAAAATGGGCAGAGTGATGACAAATTAAAGCTAAACTTGTACAGCACACTTTATTTGTCAAGTGCAAAACACAGAGCTGCTTAACATGGTTGAAAGTAACAATCATAAAAATTCATTTGAGTGTGCTGAAGTTGTTATATTGCTGTACGCAACAACTTGCTGAATAACAGGAAACCTTAGCTGCACATTGCAGTTATCTAGATCAATATTAGAATTTCATATAAAGGCATCCAAACAGGTGCTTATTTGTCTACTAAAATATGCTGGATCAGCATTTCTCTTTTGTCTGTATGCTTGTCATAATCTCTTGCCGTTTTAAAATAATGACAATACTGATACTCATATCACTTTAATTTGTAAAACCTTCTATTATATTATAAGCTATCTTTATTTACTTTTATTAAGTTATTTTTAGTGACAATGGCCACAGCGAACGATAATGGTTGAGTCGCCTGCTTGATGATATGATTAGTAGGTTTGTCATATTCTATCGATTAGATGACATCATTGACTGCAATACACAGACTGACAAATTTAACCACTGTTGAAAACAATATACATATAAAAAATATGTGTTTTAGTGTTTTTGGTCAATTTTAATGCAAGCATTTTTACATATTGTGCCTTTCTGAAAGTTCACAGTAACGAGTGTTGCACACAGGTGTCACTCATTACCATTAAAAGATAACTGTTTCCACTGTTTATACCGCTTCTTTCCTCTCTGGTAGTAACAGCAATAAAATAAATACAGATAAGTTGCTAGGTGCTTGCGAGACCTAGTCAAATTTTGATATCGACAAATTAAGATATTTTAGATCAAATCTGAGAGCCCTCAACTTCTATGAACATCAATGGTACAAAAAAGAACATAACACACACACACACACACACACACACACACACACACACACACACACACACACACACACACACACACACACACACACACACACACACACACACACACAGTCGTCTGACATCAAGTAGGTGGCTGGCTGGGCCATGAGGCATTTCTCTGTGGATTTGGCACACCATCTAATATGAGAGGAGAGTGAGAATGATGGAGAGAGTAGGGGCTTGGAGCAAATGCCTTTAACACAGAGATTATCATTTCTAATTTGACAGTTAATTTATTTATTTATTTTTTGCTGAGCTATAAATAAGCAAACTGAAATTGAAATGTTTAAATTAAATGTTTGTAAATGAATCTGATTCTTAAAAATATAAATAATGTCACTCAATGGATAGATTATGCAAAAAGCATTAGCAAGCAAATCAGGCAAAAACGCTTGTAATTCTGTTATAAATTAGATTGTTTTTACTGTAATAAATTCATTTCTAAAATGTAAAAAAATATTGTAATATTTAATATAAAGCAACATTTTCTAGACATTTTTTAACCATAAATAAATAAAGTAGGAAAATATTCATGGCAACTTTATTTACCTTCGGCCCACTAGCTTTAATCGATTTTGGTTATTGGCCCTTCATAAGAAAAAGTTTGGGAACCCCTGCTCTAAAGTGAGAGAAACCACTCGTGCTTTACACAGCCTCGTAAACAACAACAGGACACGGCAGACATGGCAGATTCTGCTCTTCTTCTTGGCTTTGTGGCTGTTCATCAAAACGACAACAAGGTTTGCTTAAGCACAGGTCGACATGGCTCGCTATTATATTTTATTATGAAGTAATGTCTTTGCTGTGTATTTAAAAATGGCGCTTCCTTAATGTTCATTCTTCCTGCTTGTGCACATGCTAGTGGCATTTCTCTGTAAATCAGTAGTGTTCAGCTGCGCCCCTTTCTAAAACAGATTTACATATTTTCCACAACCACATGATTTGTCTTCTGGCATAGTTGTTTCAGAAATAAAAAGCTTCTCTGCATCAGTTAGGGTTTTTAAACTCACCGGCCACTTTATTAGGTACACCCCTTTTTGCCTTCAGAACTGCCTTAATCCTAATAGCATAGATTCAACAAAGTACTGGAAAATTCCTTTGAGATTTTGGTCCATACTGACATGATCACATCACACAGTTGCTGCAGATTTGTCAGCTACACATCTATGATGCGGATCTCTTGTTCCATCACATCCCAAAGGTCCTCTATTGGACTGAGATTTGGTGACTGTAGAGGCCATTTGAGTACAGTGTCATTGAGTACTTGAACATTGTGATGTTAAAAAAAAACAGTCTGAGATGATTCACATTTTATGACATGGTGCGTTATCCTGCTGGAAGTAGATGTTTAGAGTAGATCAGAGGATGTTTACACTGAGGTCATTGTTGCATAGTTAGTTAATCATTATCTTGAGTTTAATAAGAGTAATGTTTTAATTTATACAAAGAATAATTAAAGAGCGCAGGTCACTTTAAGTGTTCGGAAAATGTGTGACGACGTGAATGTTAGACTGGATCACAAGTTTTGGTGAGTGTGAGTGTTGTGAGCAGAAAAGGTGAAGGACACCAATCAAAAGTATATAAGTTCTATGACATTTCATTTCAGTTTTACAAACATAACAGTCATAAAGGGATGGACATGATCACCAACAATACTCAGGTAGGCTGCGGCGTTGACATGGTGCTCAATTAGTACTAATGGACTAAAAGTGTGGCAAGAAATTATCTCCCATACCATTACACCACCAGCAGCAGCCTGAACTGTTGATACAAAGCAGGATAGATCCATGCTTTCATGTTGTTGATGCCAAATTCTGATGCTACTATTCGAATGTTGCAACAGAAATTGAAACTAATTAGACCAGATAAAGATTTTCCAATCATCTTTTGTCCAATTTTGATAATTGTGCAAATTGTATCCTCAGTTTACTGTTCTTAACTGACAGGAGTAGTCTTTTGCTGATGTTACCCATCCGCCTCAAGGTTCCACCTGTTGTCCGTTCTGAGATGCTCTTCTGCATACCTTGTTGTAACAAGTGGTTATTTGATTTACTGTTGCCTTTCTATCATCTGGAACCAGTTTGGCTATTCTTCTCTGACCTCTGGCATCAACATGGCATTTACGCCCACATAACTGCTGCTCACTGAATATTTTCTCTTTTTTGGACCAATCTCTGTAAACCCTAGAGACGGTTGTGCAAAAAAATCCCAATAGATGAGTAGTTTCAGATTGCACCTTGTATTCAAAGTCCAAACTGGAGGTTTGTATCTACTAGCTATTTTGTAACTCAACTAAAGTTGTTAATTTGGTTGCTTCACATGTTCTTAAGGCAGAGCATAGTTAGTAGGTCATAATCTCTCCATAATGTGTAGTTTATATACTCAATACTCAATACTAAGCCTTCATATTGTTATATGGCACTAAAATAATTTTGCATTTATATAGAGTATGTTGCTTTAGGAAAACCACAAAATAATCTGAACAACTGTCCAAAAAATGTGCAGGTTACAGTGTTTTATAGTACATTACAGAAAAGTCACTGAAAACAGATGACGAGGCATATATATATGCATCACGAGACATCAAAGCATATTAAATGAACGTGAAGTTATTAAAACACTCCCTATTCTTTGGCTTAGTCCCTGATTTATTAGGGGTAACCACAGTGGAATTAACCACCAGTTACTCTTGCATATGTTTTATGGGGTGGATGCACTCTCTCATTCACACACATACTCATACACTACAGCCAATTTAGTTTATCCAATTCACCTGTACCACATGTCTTGGATTGTGAAGGAAACCAGAGTATCTAAAGAAAACTCATGTGTACACAAGGAGAACATGCAAACTCCACAAAGAAAAGCCACCAAGCCAAGCTAGGACTGAAACCAGCAACCTTCTTGCTATGAGACAACAGCACTGACTACTAAGCCACTGTGCTGCCTGTTATCAAAACATTAAAGATTACATTATTTTAATATTATACAAATAAATGAAAAAAGAAACATAGAAAAATGAAATCATGAAGAAAATCTAATTTTAATTCAGGGATACAAACAAATCACTCAAGTCAAGTTAGGTTTTGCTTTATTGTCTCATGTTTA